CCCCCCCCCATGGTGTCCCTCTTTACCAATGTTAAAATCTGGTCACCTTACTGTAAGTACCAAAGGCAATTCTTCTCTCCAAATTAATGACAAGGTACTCAGCTACCCCTTAAGTTTCCATTTCTCAGCCTCTGCCCCCTCTTGTGCATGGAGCATTCTCACCACTGGCTTCACACACTTCCCCTCCTCTCCTTGGATCCCCCAGCCTTGAAGACTGAAAGAGTGGGTGCAGATGGGGTGGGGGCAGATGGAGTAGGTTCCAGGAGCCCTGTCACTCCCTTCCCTCAAGGGCACCGGAAATGCAACTCCTCCACCCTCCCCCTTTCTTTTTCTACCAAAAAAAGAAAAAAAAAAAAAAAGCAGTTAAGAAAACCTACCTCGGGCAGCTGTTGAAGGGATTACCTGGTGCAGAGAGAGACTCCAGAGTCAGTGTACTCTGGATATGAGTCCTAGCTCTTGTATTTCCTAGTGATTACTTGTTCCATGTTTCAGTGTCATCTGTAAAAAGAACATAAAGTAGTTCCTCCTTCATAATGTGAGGTTTGGTATAATACTTCCCAAAGGTATCAGAACTGCACTGGCATATAGTAAGCACTTACTAAACATTAGCTATTGTTATTGAATACGACAAAAGAAAAAACAATATGGTTCTAATCAGCAGTTCTTCCCTCTCTCCTTTATTTATTGGTTGGTGGGATCAAAGGGGAGGGAGAGAAACTCAGGAATGGCAATATTTTCTGTCATTGACTAGAAGGTGACTAGACCATACAAAGGTTGGACTTTCTCAGCATTTCTAGATGAAGCTGTCAATCGCACCTTCTTCCTAGTCCTATCTCATGGCAAGAAAAGGGTAAAACACTAAATGCTGAGTTTTTTGAGAAAAGCAACAGAGCACCCAGAGACTATAATGGGGAGTTCTCTCCATGTGGGTCCCTGGTGATACTCCCAGATCCTGAGGGGAGGAGAGGTGGATTTGGTTAGGTAACTCTGGGCAAGTCAGGATCCCTCCCTAAACCCAGCTTCACACTCTGGCCCAAGGTGACCCTCCAAATCTTTGGACTCCTGGGTCCACCAGGCTTAGCGGATCCTGAAAGATTGCACATCAAACCTCAATTTCCACTCTTGCAGCTACACCCATGCCATCTGTCGCTCTTACCTCTGTACGGAGTCTCCATGGTCTCCCTCTTCGCTGTCTTGCGGGGATGTGTTCTGAGCTCTGTCTTCTTCAGGTAAGGTGGACAAGAAATGGTTTGGCCTCAGCCGCCCCGCATGGGCACCTTCCTGAGACTCTAGGGCTTAGCCCGCACTGGGCTTTAAGTAGTTGATTTGCGGACAAATATTGAGTGTCCCGCAGGAGGGTTTCCTGCTCTGTCACTTAAGAGCCTTCGGCCATTCCAAGATACTCTGTGCTATGCACGCCGCCGGGTCGCGGACGCAAACACGCAGAGTCGCGGCCACCCCCTCCCGCCCACCAGGTTCCTCTGACGCAGGCACAGACCCTCATTTGCACGCGCACCGCCTCCTCTCAGGCGGTCCCGCACTGTCAGTCACCAAGCCACGAGCGCCGGCGGGACGTCGACCTCACCCGACAGCCCCGGCGCAACCTCGGCTTCGGCCTCTACCTGTTTCCCGGGCGCCGAACAGGAAATGCCCCAGCACAATTCCTCCTGGAAGTGGGCGTGTCTTCTAGTTGCAACGGATCCTGGGAAATATAGTCCTGAACTCCGTCAGCATTCAACAATCCGGCGACAAGGATCCCAGGAGTAGCTCTTTCTCGAATCACTGCCCTCGCCCTCCGCTCCTGTATGGGCCTCTCCTGGTCGTAACAGAGTCCCTGGGAAGCCATGCAGCCCCTGGCCTGGGTCCCAGAAACACAGGCCACTCTCAGACAAACCGCTCCCTAGGTGCTGCTGGGAGCCCTGTCCAGGCACTGAGTGTGCAGGCGTAGCTGTCAGACACCCCTGAGAACCAGTGGATGGGGTCCAGAAGGGTGGAACGCGCTGGGGTAGCGGCGTCCTCCACAGAGGAAAACCACTGATGGGCAGGGCTTAGGTGTTGGGGCGGAGCTTAGGCGGGGCTGGGCCTATGGAATGAAGAGAGAAGAGAGTTGGATTTGCCTGGTGGCTTGTGCAATTGTGACTTGTGACTTTCTGACAGTATGCATGTGTAACTTGTTTTATTTCAAGTCGCTCTCTGATGTAATCTTTTTCCTTCCCACCATTTTGCCTGTCCCTACTAGAATCTCTGAAGTCCTATTCATTCTCAGTGACTAAAAGAGTTTGCATATAACACGTGCTGAGGGACAAAATAAATCACTAAACTCAGCATTAGCAGTTTCATCATGAAACAGTATGTCATGGGCTGAATGTGTCTTCTCAAAATTAATATATTGAAGACCTAACTAACACCCAATATGATGGTATTAGGAGGGGGGGTTATGGGTTTAGATTTGGCCCAAGAGGGTGAGGCCTTCATGATGGGATTAGTGCCCTTAACAAAAGAGGAAGAAGAGGTCTCGATGCTGTGAACCCAGTAAGAAAAGGCCATGTAAGCATGCAGCAGGATGGAAGTCACCTAATCTGCCCAACTTCACTTTCCAGCTTCCAGAACTGTGAGAAATGAAGTCTGTTAAGTTGCCCAGTCTATGGTATTTTGTTACAGCAGCCCCAGCTGATCAAGACACAACATCACAGATACTGGTGCAGCACACATCACCACCAAATTAAGCCACCTTCCTAGACACCATCACTCAAGGCCACACAGGCACATCTAGACTTTGGCTTTTCTAGACCCAGTTTCCCCCTGGATCTCATAGACTCCATAATGGAGCTAAGTCTAGCTGTGAAGATGCTACATTAATAATTTTCCAAACAAAAACAAAGAGAAAAAAAATCAAACCAGAATGTCCAAATGCTGTGGGACAGTTACAAAAGGTAAAATATGTGCATCATTGGAGCACCAAAAGGAACAGAAAGAGAGGAGAGGAAATATTTTAAGTAATCATGATGAAGAATTATCTAAAGTTACTGACACCAAACCATGGTCCAGGACACTCAGAGAACACTGAGCAGGATAAATACCAATACATACACACGCACATCCATCTGGGCATATTATATTCAAGCCACAGAAAATCAAAGGTGGAGGGAAAATTTTGAAGGAAGCCAGAGGGAAGAAAAACACCTTACTCCTACTCATAGAGAGAGGATAAGAATCACATCAGACTACTAGTTAAAAACCACACAAGCAATTGGTACTGATCAGTTTCACAAGAAAGAAGGAAGAAAGGAAGTATGAAGGAAAGAAAGGAGGAGAGAGGGAGAGAGGGACAGATAGATGGAATACCCATAGATTTTTCACCCACAAAAAGATGTAGATTTATCTTTTATAACAACTTGGGGGATTTGGATTCCTAAGTACCATAGGAATAGAAAAACACATATCCCATGTGCTCAATACTAAGTTAAAACTACTTGGGTAGTTACTAACCAAGTTGTTATAAAGGATAAATCTACAATTGAGAACTGCTGCAGCAGAGATTTTGTTGTGTTACTGTGAAGAGTGCTGAGTTCTGTTTGGTTTTAACAGGTCAAGAAGGAAAACTCGGTCAGCTTTACTGGAGCCATATGTGACTAGAAGTTCACCAAAATACAGAATGAAGGAGAAAGTGCCCACAAAAGGCAAGAAAAGTCAATGTATTACAAAGACAGATTTCAATCTATGTATTGAATGTGTGTATGTGCGTGTACACATACACCCACAGACACATTCCCTATTAATTCTATGACTTTAAGATCACTTTACACATAGGGTTCTGCAAATCACAGACTTCATTTACTACATTATGGACAACTCCCCACAGAAGTGTACATGGAGCTCAGTCACTTTTCACTATCTGCACAGAACAGTATTGAATAACTACAGTTTAATCAAAATCTGCTTGGCAGGACACTGAATTCCTATTTGTCATGATTAAAACAATCCTACAATAAATATTATTTATATCTTCCATCTACTGATGTATTACAGTCGGATAACATTCTTACATCTGGAACAATTGTATGAGAAGGAATGCACATCTGTGGTGTTGACAGGCTGTGCCACATCAGTGTCCAAAAAGACAAGGAACTAATTCACACTACCAACCAGAAACAAGGGCCTGTTTTCCCATACTAATACCATTATTGGCTATTACTCCAAATTTAGATTTTAGCCTATCTATGAGCCAAGAAAATTTGTTTTAATTCATATTCTTCTCATTAATGAGGTTAAGAGTTTTACAAGTTTTCTTTACTCATTTGAACTCCTCAGAGTAACTTGTCTGTTGGTGTGCACCCCCAGTACCCTCACTGTTCTCTGTGATGGCATTCTGAGCCTAACTATGTATTCTTTCCTATAAGTTGAACACATTTTATGTCAATTGTCTTTTACATGTTTTCAGTGCTTGTCACCATTTCTGAGTTTTAAATCTTTGAATAGGAAAACTTAGTCTCTTTCTTTATGGCTTCTTGGATCCCACATCCTGCTTCATAAAGGCTTCCTCGGCTCGGCGCCTGTGGCTCAAGCGGCTAAGGCGCCAGCCACATACACCTAAGGTGGCAGGTTCGAATCCAGCCCGGACCTGCCAAACAACAATAATGGCTGCAACCAAAAAATAGCCGGGTGTTGTGGCGGGCATCTGTGATTCCAGCTACTTGGGAGGCTGAGGCAGGAGACTCGCTTGAGCCCAGGAGTTGGAGGTTGCTGTGAGCAGTGAAGCCATGGCACTCTACCCAGGGGGACAGCTTGAGGCTTTGTCTCAAAAAAAAAAAAAAAAAGGCTTCCTCATTGCTATGTTAGCTTGTAACTTATTATTTCATAATTGGAAATGTTAAATACACTGTCTTATAGTTATCTCTAAGGTATAGATGTGCCTCTAATAATTTTTGTTTTTTGGGAGTACAGTAGCCAATTGTTAAAGCATTTTCTACCAGTCTTACTATATTCCAAAATCTCATATCCAAAGAATTATATTTCAAAAAATGTCCTTCCCATTTCCACCTAATTATGCTTTTTTATGTTATTTTTTTATTTTCATTTATTTTTTGCAGGTTTTGGCTGGGGCTGGGTTTGAACCTGCCACCTCTGCACCTCCAGCATATGGGGCCGGCGCCCTACTCCTTTGAGCCACAGGTGCCACCCCAATGCTTCTTTATGTTGTTTCAAATCAAACTGTCAAAGTAAACATACCTTGCTGAGACTCTGGAATTACAATTTATCAACATTTTAATAGTATTGAATATTTCATCTAGAAACTTCCTATTTCTCCTTTTACTGACTTTTTTATTTTTCAATATAATTTAATAACTTTCACTGCTATTCATAAATTGCTTTATAGTTTTTCTTGTTTTTGATGTGAGAGTTGTATTACCCTCATAAAATTCTAAGTTTTTATGTATTTTTCTCTATTCTAGAGCAGGGGTTGGCAAACTTTCTGCCACAGAGCAGAACATATTTGAAGGTTTGTGAGCCATATTGTCTCTGTTGCAGTTGTCTGAAACAGCCAGAGGCAACAGGTAAACAAAAGAGCAGGGCTGTGGTTCAACAAAACTCTGTTTACAAAAACAGGCAGCAGACAAGGTTTGGCCCATACAATATTATTTGCTGAACTCTGCTCTATGGTAAGGATCAGCAAACATTTTCTGTCAAGGGCAGGTCATATAGTATCTGTCACTACTCAACTATGCTTCTATATCCTGGAGGCAGCCATAGACAATATTAAATCCACGGGTGTGGCTGCATGACTATAAAATTTACCGATACCAACATTTTAATTTCATATAATTTTCAGGTTAATAATATTCTTTTTACTCTTGTCAGCCATTGAAAAGTTTTTTTTTTTTTAATTTTAGACCATGGACTATACAAAACCAGCCAGTGTGACAGTAGCTACAAGTCAGGTTTGCTGACCCCCACCCAAGGTAAGTTTACTGCAGATTTAGTAGTTCTCTGAAAGTTTAATAAAATTCATTCACAAGTCAAGTGACTTTAAACAGCTGAATCTGTTTCTTACCAACTTTTCTAATTCTTGAGTAACACGTCAGGAGTTTTAACTTTATGCATATAAATCTTGCACCTTTCGGATAGTTTTAATTCATTTGTTGCAGGTGGCCTATTTATTCACATTCTAGACTTTCTAAGGCTGCTGTCAAATACACAGTAAAGTTGAATTTTCTCACCAAAACGTTCACATCACCTTACAATCATGCAGATCAGAGAAAAAGCCACAACGTGAGTTTGACATTACATAATCAAGTTCTAAATCAACTCAGGCAGAACCTCAGCCATCCCCTGGAGAATGCCTGTCCCTGATCTAAACTCTGGTCTCTTCAGCCCTCATCCTTCCACATCCACTGTTCAAAAGCAATGTTTTTAAGAGAGCTAGGCTTCCTGATCTGGAAGGACTAAGCACCAAGCTGAGCACACCTTATGCATTTACCAACTTAAAGGAGCCGCAAGTTTTACATGAGGAGTGAATAAGTCACACTGACACTTTAAAAAGCCAGGCAGACTGTGTTGTGAAGAACAAACTAGTAAGGAATGAAAACAAGACAAAGAGCAGGGGGCTGGGATGTTCAGGAGCAGCTGAGTGGAGAAATACCAGGAGACTATGGTGATGGGAGGGAGGATGGAGTCCAGAGAAATTTGGGAAATAGGCCCACGGGATTTGCTGTGGAAGGTGAAGGGGGGTGTGTTGATGTCTCCCCAGTGTGAATTCGCTGATGATGGGCTAAGTGTGCAGTCTGCCGAAAAACTTTTCTACTTTTCTTATAGTTACAGGATCTTTCTCCAGTGTGAACTCTCTTATGTTGATTAAGATGTCCGATTTGGATGAAGGTCTTCCTACATTCCTTACATTCATATGGTTTCTTTCCAGAATGAATTCTTTGGTGCACACTGAGTGACTGACGGTGACTAAAGGCTTTGCCACACGCACTACATTCGTATGGCTTCTCCCCAGTGTGACTTCTTCGATGACAAATAAGGGATGATTTTGTCTTGAATGCTTTCCCACATTCGATACATTCATAAGGCCTTTGGCCAGTGTGAAGCCTCTGATGTTGAGTACAGGACGAATTATCACCGAAGGCCTTCCCACATTCCATACATTTATAGGGTTTCTCCCCAGTGTGAACTCGCTGATGTTGAATGAGGTGTGTAGTCTGGCTGAAGGCCTTACCACATTCCTTACACTCATATGGTTTTTCTCCTGTATGAGTTTTTTGATGTTGTGCAAGGTGAGCCTTCTGGGTGAATGCTTTACTGCAAACCTTACAGTCATAGGGCTTCTCTCCAGTATGGATTCTTTGATGAGTAGCAAGCTGGGAACTGATGCTGAAGGATTTCCCACATTCCCCACATTCAAAGGGTTTCTCCCCAGTATGGATCCTCAAATGACTAGCAAGGTGTATGTTCTGTCTGAAAGCTTTCCCACATTCCTTACATTTAAAAGGCTTTTCCCCAGAATGTACTCTTTGATGTTGAGTGAGTGATGCGTGATGGCTAAAAGCTTTTCTACAGACATCACATTCGTAGGGCTTTTCTCCTGTGTGAATCCTTTGATGTACAGTGAGGGATGAGCCATATCGAAATGATTTATGACACACATCACATTTGTAAGGTTTCTCTCCAGTATGAATTCTCCTATGTTGGTTGAGCCCTATGTGGTCACTAAAGGCTTTCCCACAATCGATGCAATCAAAAGGCTTCTCACCAGTGTGATAGTACCTCCAGTGACGAATGAGGGATGTGTTCTGTATGAAAGCCTTCCCACATTCAATGCACTCATAGGGCTTCTTGCCAGTGTGACACCTCTGATGTCGTGCAAAGGATGAGCCATCGCTAAAGGCCTTTCCACAGTCATTGCATTTATAAGGTTTCTCTCCAGTGTGGATTCTCTGATGAACAGTAAGGGATGAGCTCTGAGTAAAAGTTTTTTTACATTCATTACATTTGAAAAGTTTTTTTCCTGCATAGATACCTGTTTGCCTTATTACAATTGAATTTTTTTTGAAACTTCTAACTGAATCATGATTATGAACTCTCTCTTCTGAATCTTCCAAATAGAACCATCTTCCAGATTTATTATACATATGCTGTCTTTCCTTAGGGTAAGTTTTGTTATGAGCACTTGGCTCTTGCCTGTATTGTGTCTCTTGATGTACTAGCCTCCTTTCAAACATACACTCAGAGTCCCAATTTTCTCTGAAAGTGGAACTCTCCAGTTTAACATTTGAGGTTCTATCTGTTACCCCTTCATCATATGAGTCCTGCTTTGGAAATAACTCCTTGATCTCACATACAGATTGCTGGCCTGAAAGATACCAAGAACACAGATTTTCATTTATTATGTGCTAGGAAAAAGGAATCTGCTAAAGGAAAATCAGTGAATTCACTAATTGGTGAATTAAACATTTGCAGCTCTAAAAGCTATCAGTGCAGTGCACAATGTGTGTAACAAGACCCCAGACTAAGTTTACCACAGAAACCTAGAGAATTAAGTAGAAAAGAATTAAATACATGGAGAATCACTTACATATCAGAAGTTGACAGGCTATAACAGTTACAGACTTACCCCTCTTCCACATCCTGTCTGTCCTGCTCTGGATGCCAGAGCAGTTACTACTCAGTGCTGTCATCACCTCACAAGAGTTGTTAAAGGAACATACCAAAATGCCAAAGCACAAGAAAGACACCTGGATGTTAGCTGTAGGCTTGTCACATACACCCTTATCTGTGCTCTGATACGTTTCCTCTATACCAAATGTGTTAAGAGTTTTTATCATGAGGCTGGGCACAGTAGCCCTCACCTGTAATCCTAGCACTTTGGGAGGCTAAGGCTGGTGGACGGATTGAACTCAGGTGTTTGAGACTAGCTTGAGCCAGAGTGATACCTCATCTCTACTAAAAATAGAAAAATTAGCTGGGCTTAGTGGTGCATACCTATAATCCCAGCTGCTCAGGAGGCTCGGGCAGGTGGATTCCTTGAGCTCAGGAGTCTTGAGCAAGAGCGAGACCCTGTCTCTAAAAATAGCTGGGCATTGTGGTGGGCACCTGTAGTCCCAGCTACTTGGGAGGCCAAGGCAGGAGGATCACTTGAACTCAGGAGTTTGAGGTTGCTGTGAGCTATGACAGCACAACACTGTACTGAGGGTGACAAAGTAAGACGCTGTCTCAGAAAGAAAAAACAAAGCTTTTATCATGGAAGGATCTTGAATTTTGTCAAATGCTTTTTCTGAATTTATTGCAATGATTATATTAACTGTTTCTTTTTGAAGAGACTGTTTTTGTAATATCAAGTACCAATATTCTATTTAAATCTATTCATATAGTATTGAACAAGCTTAGGGGATAAAGTGATTATGTCTAAAGTCTTTTCATTACATCACTCAGCATGCATCAGAATATTATGCACATACAGTTATATCTCAAATATACAGTACATATAGATAAAATTGCTTATAAGGAGGTGATTGCAGAAAGTCAAATGTTTGGAAAAAGACGATCTTCAAAAAGGGAAAGGGAGAAAGTCTCTTTTAATGGCATTTAAAGACTGGAAGCTTCCTGTTTTAGATCAGTAATGAGCAATGTTTTACACAGCATACAAGTCAGAATGCATTTGGAAAACACTTGTGTGCATGACTGAATATATGCTATAATTTCTACTATGTGAATAATGGATTATAGTTTTCTATTCTACTATGTTTAATGGATTATGGTTTGCTACTCTTTTGCCAAATAGATGAGAGAATTAGATTTTCTACAAACCATTATGGTTGAAGGAAATTTCTTTTCCTTCCCTTCTGTACCCAGTGGAAAAGCCCCTCTACTCCCAAGTTCTTACAGTGTGACCCTGTTCCCTGTAGAAACACAGGAGCCACTGGTAGTAACGTGTCCTTTGCTTTGGTAGAGCCATTTGAAATTCTGCACATTCTCCTTCACAATATGACCCATAAATGTCTTATTCTCTCCATTACAGCAATTCTCTGATAGTTTATACACCTGCATAACTTCCTCTGGCTCCAATTGCCTGCAGATACCAAGCAGAGTGGCTCAGTTACATAACTTTCAATTTGTGGCTCTTACAGGAACAGATGCCTGATGAAATGAATGTGCCACTTAACTGCAGAAGATAAAACACTTGGAAGTCAGTGTAAAAGCACATCAGTGTCAGGAAAGGTTGCCTGAGGAACTGAAAGCCTGATATACCTCAGCAGCCAAGGAAAGAAGCAGCACTCAAGAGAAATGGGAGTTCCTGGAGAGAAGGGGGCAAAGGAAGAAAAAAGAGTCATTTTGAAATCCCAGAGTTTGGCATTCTTTCCAGATCCAGAGTATCAAAGTATAATTTTCTAAGGTACGTTAGTGAGGATTTGGCCTCTCTGATGATAAAAGCCAAACTCTCTGCTGCAGTGGCTCCTTCCCAGCAGGCTCCCACACTGACCTGAGAATAGGCCTCCTGCCAGCTGTCCTTTCACCACCCAGGGCTCCTTCCCTTGCTCCAGTAGAGACACTAAGGCTGGCTTGGAAACACAGTACCCTGCAAAAGAGAAGAGATAGGGTTCACTTATACTCTCAGCATCCTAAACTTTGGAACCAGTTCCTTATTGTTAGAATAGTGTTATTGCAGGAAGACCCCCAAAGGTGAGTAAGATCTAAAAGGTGCCAAAGATGATGGTTCAAGCGCCACAAAGACACCAACTTTCAATTCTACAAACTCTTTTTTTTTTTGCAGTTTTTGGCTGGGGCTGGGTTTGAGGCCACCACCTCCAGCATATGGGGCCGGCACCCTATTCCTTCGAGCCACAGGCGCCGCCCAAACTCTTATCTTAGGGATCAGAAGCAAAACTTGAGGCCAACACTTCAGAAGATCCCCCTACCCCTAATAATCCAAAACTGAAGTATGAAAATGGGGACTTCTGAAGACTGATTCAGATTTGGGAGAGAAATATCCTTACCTACTGAACCTGGGTCATCATGGTTCTCCCACATTACATTCCAGAAATGCTTCTGAGTTGGGTCTAGTTGCTGGGAAAAGATGATGGCCATGTCAGTGATGGTTGTCAAGCCCTGCAGTGGTACAGTATGTTTTCGATCAAACCATGCCTGTAAACCCATCTTGGGAGTGGGCTGTGTCCATAGGATGTGAGAAATGCACTGTGTACCAAGAAGTGTGACCTAGGGTCTTATCACATATATAATGACTGGGCTCAATTATATTGCATATGTTTGGGGAAATGAGAAAAATAAGAGAAATTATTTCTGCCATGGAAAATTAATTCATAACTTTGTGGAAGAGGATGAACTTATACACAGTATATATATATAT